AAATTCATCCGAGAATCCAAGCAGGAGGCCTTTTCAAAGTTAGAAAAATTCCAGGCAACTTCAGCTTGTCTACATCTGCAAGCTTTATTTATCTGCATTGCTTCCATGTTCCCTGTGCATATATCAATTAGTCCATCTTTATTTTATGGCCATAGAGCCAGCATAAAAATCTCTCTGAATTGTTGCGACACCCCAAAGTCTCACAGCTATGAAGAAGACTGTAGGCCCGGGAAACTCAAAAATGCATCCTTCTAACTCACAGAAAGTTACAGGCATTAAGTTCCCGACAGAACTTAAAAATAAAAAGTTACAAAGAGTTTCACGCTCAAGCGTCTCACTTGGAGGGCACGAGAAGGAAATAGCGCTAGCAGCAGCTGGAACGGGGAACCCTTGTCTGTTGTGGGAAGATGGTCATCGGGTTGTCTGGCGATCTTTGCCCCCAGATAGGCAGCTGTAAGTTTATGGCCCTCAAAAACACACAACCGAGGGACCCCACCTTTTCCTCATTGGCCGGGGTGGTTATAAACCTTCCGCCAGCTGCCAGCTCACTTGGCAGCATCATTATTTTTTTAAAAATGCATCATTTAAGAAAAAAAGTCTTTGCAGAAAGCAACGCATGCAATACAAAACCAAATTCTTCCAGTTTGGGCTGAAATCAGATGAGAAATGGTCTGTTCTTTTGTTCATGTGTTAAGAGAATTCTCTCTCTCTCTCTCTCTCGTAACAGAAAATAGGGCAGCTCAGGAGAAAAATCAGAATTTTAAAAGTTGGATGTCTGCTCCAGAAAAAGCAGCAAACTTTTGGTGTAATAAGAAAAAAAAATACTTTAAAAAATCCAAGTCCTATCAACTACAGCTCAGACCCTGTGTTCCTTTACTCCTGGGGTTAAGAATCACTGAAATGAAACAGGTTTTCTTTTGAAAAACCCATCTATTGGGTAGAGATGGTTTTTTTTAAGGTTCAGGCCTGTAACCAGTGACGTTAAGAATTTGAAACCCTGAATGGGTGGGTCACATCTTTCTTAGCAATCTCTTAGCCTGCTGTGCTGGTTGTGTGTTTTGTGTGCTGTACTTCCATAAAAAGACTAGAGATGTTTCACACCACTTACGGAGACCTTTGAGGGGGGGGGGAAGCTCTTGGTCCCATTTTATTTGTCCCCCGGTAACCATAAATTGTGAGGAATAAATGGAACCTTCACCATCTGGAGCAGTCTATCTTTCAAGCAGCGGCTGGGTATATACCACGCAGCATCGCTGCTGTTTCCATGCTGTGCTTGCTGTCTTTTCTAAGGCGGGTTGGTGGGCTAGATAGATCAGTAGCAGGCACAGTTCACACACCCCCATGTTACTCTACTACAAATCCTATCAGCCTTAACTGGTAGAACCAACAGCAAAGAACGCTAGGACCTCTTGTGCAACCCTGTCACATGAAACCCATTTTCTCCACTCCCGGAAGAGATCTTGTTCTGATTCTGGAAGGCTCTTTTTAAGACTTCCGTTCCCTCCCACCAGGAAAATTGTGTTTTCGCTTGAAATGTCTGCTTGAAACTTAAGCATATGGGATTTTTCTGGACAGAGGAAGCCAGAGTGTGTTACTCTGTAAATAGACTCAGGCTGTGCAGGCTGTGAAAGTGTAAGCCTGGCATTCGGAATACCTCTCACCAATCAATTAAAGATGTGTTCAAACTGGGGTGGTTTTTTGGTTTTGTTTTCCTCAAGGTGGATTGTCTGGCTGTGGGCGTGTGTGTCTTTTTATGTCTTTTATAGGAGAGAGGGTTGCCGTTGTGAGGAGAGCGGGTAAAAGGAGGAGCCGGACAGGGGAAACAGTATATATATATATA